CAGGACCATAACCCCTCTCCATGCTCTGTAAGTGAACCCCATAAACGCGTATGTTCCCCCGGTGAACTCTGGTGGAACCTTACCTTGGTTTGTAGTCAGGACTGTAAGTAAGGTTTATGCCTCCCAGGGGAGGTATTCCTGCAAGGCTGTTTCGTGTCACCTGTCTTAGGGACCATGTTAGGGTCTCACAGCTGACTGAGGTGGGGAGCCCTAAGCATGTCTGCCAGCCTACTGCGTGTGAGGACTGAGTCAGAGGAAGGGAGTAGTCAGAGCCTGCCCAGAGGAACTGCAGGCCCCTGCCTTCCCTCCTTCTTCTCCTTCCTCATATGAGGTATCATATCGGCAGGACGGTGATGGAGGGAGAGGCCCTTGTAAAGACTGGCTAGGCTCTCATCAAATCCATTTCTTCTCTAGATAAGTTTCCTCCTAAGTAGAAATTTATTGCTCATAATTCTAGGGGCTGGATCAAAGTGCTATCAGATTCTGCCTGGTGAAAGACGGTTCTTCATGAAGGATGCTGTGTGTGCTCCCAGGGAGGAGGGACGAGCAAGCCCCTCTAGGCTGGGCTCCAACTAGCTGTGTAGCCAAGGATGGCCCAAAGCTTCTGGTCCCCATGCCTTTCCCTTGCAAACGCTGAGGTGACAGGCACTCCGCCAGCCTGTGAGTGCGTGCGTGCGTGCGTGCGTGCGTGCGTGTGTGTGTGTGTGTGTGTGTGTGTGTGTTATGGGGGTAGTATGCCACGGGGGAGGTCAGAGGTCATCTTTGCAGAGGCAGGGTTCCGCTTTCCAGCCTTCCTCAGGCCACCAGGCTTGCACAGCGCAGCGCAGCTCTGCCCACTGGGCCATCCCATCAGGGGCTCCCCCTCACTCCTGCGGCCCCTTTAAAGGGCCCTAACCATTTACTAAAGGCCTCACCCTGTGAGAACCATTGCACTGGGGATCATGTTTCCATCAGTGAATTTGGAGAGAAGACACACAGACCAAAGCATCCGTTAAAAGAACATAAATAAGGAACAAAAAAGCAGAATTCACAGACCAGAGAAGAGAAGAGGAGGAGGAGGAGGAGGAGGAGGAGGAGGAGGAGGAGGAGGAGGAGGAGGAGGAGGAGGAGGAGGAGGAGGAGGAGGAGAAGGTGATTGGGAACAGAGGAAAAATACAAGTTGGAAAACCCTGGTGGAGAAGTCAGGGCAGAGCCTATGAATCACCCTCCTGCCTCCTGGCCTCGTGTTAGCTCCTTGGCATCTGGGCAGGCCCTCATGACTAGCTCTTGTCCGTGGGGTGTGGGTGTGTCCTTCCTCTTGCTGCCTCACTTGTACCTGCCAACAGCAGCCGTCTGGACAGTGTGTGGAAGACCATGGTGCCTCAGACTAGGAGGAGCCTGGGCCCGGATGACTATGTAGAGACTCTCTGCTGACTGGCCCCAACTGAAAGTTACCCTGCCGATTGGAATTACAATCCACTCTGATGTGAGCCTGTGTGTGTCTCCACTCAGAGAGAGCCACCCATGTGTGTGTGGGAAGAGAGTGAGCTTAGGGCTCACATCCTTCCAGCCTCCCATCTTCCTCGGCACTCCTGGTACCCCTGGGCTTGGCCCCCCATTTCGTGCTTGCCAGCTGGCCTGGATGGAACAACGCGCCGGCTCTTTCTCCAGGTGCATTGCGGTGCTGCCTCGAGGATCAGGCCCTGGGGTGAGGCCTTCACTGCCTCTGCAACTCCAGGTGACATCTGAACGGATGGCCCTGTCCCCTCTCACATCATGAGTGGTGTCTCTATGTGGGGTCCCCATTGTCCTGTGAACTCACTGCCTTCCCAGTGATGATGTCAAATGTTCACACTGCCTTCCCAGCGATGATGTCACACTGCCTTCCCAGTGATGATGTCAAATGTTCACACTGCCTTCCCAGTGATGATGTCAAATGTTCACACTGCCTTCCCAGTGATGATGTCAAATGCTCACACTGCCTTCCCAGTGATGCTGTCAAATGTTCACACTGCCTTCCCAGTGATGATGTCAAATGCTCACACTGCCTTCCCAGTGATGATGTCAAATGTTCACACTGCCTTCCCAGTGATGCGGTCAAATGTTCACACTGCCTTCCCAGTGATGATGTCAAATGCTCACACTGCCTTCCCAGTGATGATGTCAAATGCTCACACTGCCTTCCCAGTGATGCTGTCACACTGCCTTCCCAGTGATGCTGTCAAATGTTCACACTGCCTTGTTTTGCAGGAAGCAAGATCTGCATGTAAACCATGGACTAGGGATTTGGTAAGTATTTAGCAGTAGGAGAAAAGGGAAAGACTAGTTAATGAAATAAAAAATAATGGCCAGGCAGTAGCGGTGCACGCCTTTAACCCTAGCACTCAGGAGACAGAGGCAGGCAGGTCTCTGTGAGGTCTACAGAGCGAGTTCCAGGACAGGCTCCAAGGCCACACAGAAAAACCCTGACTCAAAAAACAAAACAAGTGCCAGGTGTTGGTGGTGCACGCCTTTAATCCCAGCACTCGAGAGGCAGAGGCGGGCAGATCTCTGTGAGTTCGAGGCCAGCCTGGTCTACAGAGTGAGTTCCAGGACATCCTCCAAAATAATGCAGAGAAACCCTGTCTCAAAAACAAACAAACAAACAAACAAAAAACCACCACCAATGGATGAGCCGCTGGGCCAAGTTCTGAAGTGTCCCCACCAGCTGGGTCCCTGTATTTTATTTCTCACACTCCCCGCCACAGAGCAACGTCTGAATTGGTTGGTTGTCTGCCAGCGTATGACCCTGCTGGGCTCTCCCTTTCCTTTGCCCTCCCCTCCTCAATCCTCCACCCCCAGTCAGGGCCCAGACTCTGTGATGGGTGGCTAGTTTTACATCAACTTGACACAGTTAGAGTCATCTGGGAAGAGGGGACGTCGGCTGAGACAATACCTCCTCCAGGCTGGCCCGTGGGCAAGTGCATAGGACATTTTCTTGGTTGGTGGCTGGCTGGTTCTATGGGTGTGTTGTAAGGAAGCAGGCCGAAGAGGCCGTGAGGGACCAGCCAGCAAACGGCACTGCATGGCTTCTGCCCGAGCTCCTGCCCCTGGGCTCCCGCCCTGCCCTGCTTAAGTTGACGGACTGCAGCCTCCATGCTCTGACTCCCCACAGAGACGGACTGCAGCCTCCATGCTCTGACTCCCCACAGAGACGGACTGCAGCCTCCATGCTCTGACTCCCCACAGAGACGGACTGCAGCCTCCATGCTCTGACTCCCCACAGAGATGGACTGCAGCCTCCGTGTATGAGCCAAGTAAACCCTGGCTCTCCCACGCCTTCTTTTGGTCATGGTGTTTCATCATAGCAACAGAAACCCTAGCTAGGGCATGTCCTCTCCATGAGCAAGCCTCTTTAACATAAGGGGTTACAGGGCCAATCCCCTGCACCATGCAGATTAATCCTGGCTGTCACTGGGTGCCGTCCCTCCCGTGGCTTAGGATCAACTCCACGTGTTCCAGCACGGTGAGAGCCTGTTGCCATGTTCCTTAAAGTGCTTCAGCCCCGTGGGTCCGTTCTGAGCAAACTCAGACACCAACTGCAGACGCATCCGATCTTTCTCCCTTCTTCTTCTCCTCCATCCCTGGCTGGGCCAGGCAGGCTCGGTCCACTGAGTTTTGAAATCTGCAGTCAGGGTGAGTTTCCAGACCACAGCCATCCCTCTGGGTCCAGTAACACTGTCTAAAACTAAACCCAGATTTGTCCCCCTTTTTTTTTTTTACCATAAACTACTTTTATGGGACTGTCTTTGAGAGCAGAACTGGATCTGGGCCTTGAACACAGCAGAGGAGGAGGAGGAGGAGGAGGAGGAGGAGGAGGAGGAAGGGCACGATGGGAAACCACCGTTGTAAGAGGAGGACATCGTGTGTGGTGCCCCAGTCCCTCAGCTGAGACAGGGCCAAGGTGGCAGCTGACTGGGGAACTGTGGACTTGGCTGATGTGGCACCAGAGAAAGGGACCTTCAGAGATCGGGTTTGTCATTGTCAGGATGGCTTTCATTTTCTTGCCAAGGGCATAGAGTATGCAAATTAATGACATCATTACCTCAGCTAAGAAAACGTAATTTGGAAAGCTGATCTGCTTTGAAACCCAGGTCCTTTCCTTTCCTTTCTTTTTTTGAAGCAGACTCACTAGGCAGCTTTGGCTGGCCTGGAACTCACTTTGTAGACCAGGCTGGCTTTGACTTCACAGAGATCCACCTGCTCTGTCTGCAGAGTGCTGGGATTAAAGGCGTGTGCCACTGTATTGCACAACTAAGAGTTTTCTTGTTCACGCCACTGTTTCCCTTCCATCGGAATGAATTTTGGAAAGATCATAGTCCTCATTAGAGCCTGATGGTGGTGCCTTAATTCTGTGCTTGCATGGGGTTTCAAATTCAAGCCCCTTCCTCTCTGAGGCTGCTTGTCGACACACGCAGTTTTGTTTTGTTTTTTTCCTGAATCAGGGTGCCACGTAGTTGAAGCTGGCCTGAAGCTCAATCTGTAGCCAAAGACGACCTTGGAGGTCTGATCCTGCCCTCATCTCCCAAGTACCACCTCCCGTGCTGCGCAATCTTGGGGATGAAACTCAGGGCTTCCTGGAATCTAGGCAAGCAGGCTACCAACTTCAGCCCTCCCCCCCCCAATGTGAATATTTTATCAGCCCCACTGCTACCAAATTTCCTGAGGGACCTCGGGAAACTGGTGAGCTGGTCTTGTCATACACTCTAGTTTCTCATAAATTGGAGGCACCGGACAGCACGCTGACCGGAATAAACAAACAGAAAGGGCATTAAGGCGCACCAGTAATCACTGATGACCTCAGCAGTTTTATTAACAAATTTATTTGCCTAATTGGGGAGCACAGCACAGCACCGGGCTCCAGGGCATTGTAATACGTTTCAACGCTGCAGAAGAAGGAATTCATTAGACCTGTTTGCTCTGGTTTTCTGTTAAGTAGCATGCACCCACTCTTGTAAACATCGTCCTGGGTCCCCCCCCCCCCCCCCGCCTTCTAGGTTCTCTGCTTCCGACTCCCCCTACCCACCCAAAGTAAATAAATGGAAATGGAGACTACGGCCGAACGCTATTGGCTCCTGTGTTGGTGCACTCCTCAACTGGAGGCTGCATTTCCAGGTCAGGGTCATCTGGTCACAGTGTGGCAGACTTGCTAATTCCAACCCCCCCAAAGTCTGTGGGGACACCTCCCCTCACATGCTGACGGGGGGGTGTGCCGGGGTCTGCCTGGGCCTGTCCTTGTCCACTCATTCTTTTATTATTACTGTTATTCTTATTTTGTGACTCTGGGCTTCATGGAACCCAGGTCCTCATGCGTGTGACGCACAAGCCCTCCTACTGAGCCACGCCCCACCACGCCCCAGCCGGTGCTCTTGTCTGTTTAGAACCTGAGTACAGGGCAGGCGAGGTGGACGAAAGGGTTGTCCATCTCCTGTCCCGCCTATAACTCTCCGTAGGAGGTGGGAGGCGTTAGCTAGTCTGCCTGTGGCGTGAAGGATCCACCCAAGCAGGATACTCCTCAAGGCTTCTTCCAGGAGCTTTTTTTCTCTCCCTCTCTCCCTCACGGCTGTTGAGGACTGCAGCATGACAACGGAAGAGAGTTCTGGACCGCAGGCACCCTGCAGCACTGCAGCGCTGACCTCTGACCCCGGCTACACCCTCCCGTGCATTGGACAATGGTGGCGCTTTCACTGTCTGCTCCCGCTTCCCTGCGGAAGATGCCCGGTGTGTGTGTGTGTATGCCTGCAGAGCAGATTTCTGCAGCAACTGTCAATATTGCTGTGCAGAGATGACTTTTGAAGGTAGATGTGGTTATTGCAAAGACACCTACAGGGGATCTAGTCTACTCTAGCTTGGGTCCCTTTGCAAAATCTATAGCCCAGAAAGTTCCCTGAACCTTCAGTCTCCCTCTTGGAGGTCCTGCAGAATCCCGATGAGATTTTCCAGGCCGAAAATATACCCAGGATCTGGACCCTCGTGGGTGGTGTGCCCGTTCCAGGAACCCTTGCATGTCGTGTGAGCGAAGTCAATCATTCGGACATCGACTTTGGCGGGGTCACCGGTGCCTTGGGTGGTCTCGGGAGCGTTCTGAGGAGGCTCCTGCCCGTCGTAGATTATGAGGAGGGAGCTGGAGTAGAAGCGGTAAGAACTCTGGCTCCTGATGACCGCGAGCAGAGCCTGCAGCCTGCGAAGGATGGGCTCCAGGAGCTCCGTGCGTAGACGGGTTCCGTCGTGGAGGAACTGAGAAAGGGCTTGCCTGAAGCCCTCCTCGGAGAGCTTTCGTCCATAGTACTTATCTCTGCAGAGAAAGCTCTTCTTATCGGTTTGATAAACCTTACATGGGGAAAGAGAGAGAGGAAATATGAAGGACTGTAAACTGTTGGTTTGGTTTTCAAAGCCTGCCTTGGGGACTGGGGATGCGGCTCAGTTAATAGACAGCTTGCCTGGCAAGGTCAAGTCGGTGCTCAAACTCTGTGAACTGGGCCGGGTGGTGCAAGAATATGGAAGATGGAGGCAAGAGAGTCAGGAGTTCAAGGTTGTCCTCAGCCTCGTAGTGAGTTCAAGGCCAGCCTGCGCTACACCAGCCCTCATCTCAAAACTAACCAAATCAAAATTGCCTGTGATACAGCGGCTGTACCGCAAGTGCCCATAGTAAATGACATGACTCCCAGGCTGGTTGGGGAAGGGTGGGTGCACAGGGGAGCGTCTTCCAGCATGCTCCAGTGTGGCATTTTAAAAGCATTCTCTTTGCAGGTCCGGTCTCAACCCAAGGTCCAAAGACCGGTCACCTGCAGAGGTGACCCTCAGCGCACCACTCTGATGTTTAGATCACCTCTCCTGTGAATTTCCGATGTCAACTTCCAAGTCTTGATTTAAATCTTGGCTTCTGGCCTGTCTTCGACTCAGATATTAGCAAGCCCAGGCTGCAAAGCTGCGGCGGGAGCCTGAAATGGGGCCAGCGGACTGGAGAGCCAGCTGATTCCGTTCTCCCTAACAAAGCTACTGAGTCTTTTTCCTGGAGGCTTTTGAGCATGCAGGGGTGGCTCTTCCAAACAGTCCAGGGGCTGCATCAAGTGTGGATGGGCCTGCAGGCAGCCAGTAGGGCTGCTGGGAAGCAGGGCAGTGTGGGCGGTGGATGGCACTTGCCTTCAGTCTCAGTTTCCTGCCCTGGCCTCGTCTCAGCCATCAGAAGGGAGCAGACAGAAGAGAGATGCTGATGGGGACAACGTGGTGGCCACACCCAGTCCACCAGACAGCTCGGGGACAACAGAGACTGAGCGAACCAAAGCCTACGGCTACGACAACCAGTGGACACTTGACACACGCGGACAGGGCCACTTGCGGCCACCTGTGCCTGGCTCACTGTGTGAGGCCTGCCTCGCCTTCATGTTACATAATGCGTTTGTTTGCTAGTTTGTTTTTAATCAGAAAGCTATGATAGTTTTTTTTGGGGGGGCGGGGGATTGGAGATCAGCTACTAAATCAGCCTTCGTAAACACAGGGCAGGCGTCACTCTCCAGATAAATCAGGTCACTTGCAGAAGGTGGGAGGTCCGCAGAGAGACTCTGTTTACTCCACAAATCATCCCACTCTGTTCTCGGAGGGCTGCATTCCCAGCCTTCCCAGGGACATCTGTGCAATGAATTTATGGACTCAGCTTTCAGCTTCAAGGGGTGGCAGCTTCAATTAAGGAAAGCTATAACGCTTGCCGTCAAAGCGGAGCCTGGTTTTGTATTGAGTAGATGGGCTATCCGCCGTGGATTCCTGCCTGACTCCCGGCAGCCCTGCCACAACCTCCATAGTACAGAGGTGTGGGGCCCAGGCAGGAAGGAACGAGCCACCCCTGTGCCTGGGCTCAGTGGCCTCTGATCTCCCTACTCGGTTACTCCAACCAAGCTGCAGAAAGAAGCAGAAAGGCTGGGTGCCCGGCGAGAGAATAGCTAATGAGAATTCAAAAGAGGGGACTGCTACAGCCCACCGAGGGGGACAGGCCTCAGCTCTACCGTGCGTGTGGGGTCAGTAAGCCACCAGGTATATTTTCTCAGCCCTTCTCCAACCCCTGGCCCCACGCCATCGTTGAAAGCCCCTCCCAGTAGCACAAAGTTTTAGCTGCCCCCAAACGGTGAGGCTGAGTTTTGGAATAGCCTCGATGGTACTCTTTCAAACAAAAACCTGTGCGTGGGTTGGGACTGCAAGGCAGGGGCAGAGTGTGGGCCTCCTCTGCTAAAGCTCTGGGTTCCATCCCAGCACAACACAAAACAAAAATAACTTAAGGGCAGTAATCTTAACACGTCACAGGTGGAGGCAGGAGGGTCAGGGGTTCAAGGTCAGCCTTGGCTGCACAGGGAGTACGAAGTCAAGAAAGCTGGGCTTTCTGAGATCCTTAAAACAAAACACCAACACCCATCTACCCGGTACTTCGGCCCAGAAGGCTTTCTTGGCTTGGAAAGTACCCTGCAGCCTTCTCTTAAGTTGCTTCCTTAAGGGCTCTGCAGGGAGGGAGAAGTGCGGGTGGCGGGCATTAGGCCCTGCCAGGGTGCCAGCCTCTCAGCCTTGCCACCAGCCCTCTGCTCCTACCTACCTGCATGCCACAGATGCGCACGCCCAGGCAGGCCGACGTGCTCTGCGCGCACTTCTTCATGTGACGGGCCTTCTTCTCCTCGGAAGCGTCGTCCCCATGCTGACGGGTCCCCATCTTCAGATCCAAGACGCAGGGCTGCTTGTACTGCGACACCACGTTCTCCAAGAGCAAGAACCCTGGACACGCCAAGTCAAGGAAAGCTCTGGGGTCACCCAAGCACCCGAAGCTCCCGCTCGTCCCTCCCTCCTGTCTCCAGCCTTACCCGTGAGCCTGGCTGTTAAGAATGCAAGGAATTCACTGGCAGCCTGCTTTTAATAAGTCCATTTATTTAGGGGGAGTTTATGAGAGCCTTTTCCCATTTTGCTCTGAGGTTGAAATTTAAATTCAGGCATGAAATTCCTGGCAGGCCATTCCCAATTTACATTTTATGGTAGAAAAATCATAGGGCTGAGACCTCCAGTCCGCTGAACGGGCCGACACCTTCTGGGACAAGGGGGTTGATGTTCGTCTCGGAGATAAGTTGCAGGAATATTAATTCCAGCGGAGTAATTATCCTTCCAAAAGCTTCTTAGGGATTAGGGCGGCAGATGTGTCACAGTAAATACTGGAAAGAGCAGCCACTGTTTGCAGCAAGTACCGGCCTCTGCCTCCCCGGTAGCCCTGCCCCATGTCTCCTATACTGCTGAAATACCAGAGACATGCGTGCCAGGGCCCAGCTTAGCCACTAGCTGGATGTCCCCACTCTCTCCGATTCCTCTTTTGAAGGGATCTGATTTCTTCTAGGCCCTGGGCTTGTGGGCCCACACCCTCAAATTACCCTATATCTGTTTCTCCCTCCCCACCCCACCTGTCTCCGCGTGCGCGCGCGTGCGTGTGTGTGTGTGTGTGTGCATATGAGTTTGTGTGTGCATATGAGTGTGTGGGTGCATATGAGTGTGTGTGTATGAGTGTGTGTATACGAGTATATGTGTGTGCATGAGTGTGTGTGCATACAAGTGTGTGTTCATATGAGTGTGTGTGCATACGAGTGTGTGTGTGCATATGTGTATGTGTGTGCGCGCGTGCACGCGCTGTCTGTCCATCTGTCTCTGCCTCTCTGTCCTCTTCTGCTCACACCCGCCCCAAGGACTGTGCGTAGGTACAGGGTGGAAAGGATACGGTGCCGTTTGTCATCTGGGTACTCAGAGCTCAGGCGGGTCAGGTGGGCTTGGTGACAGTGCAGGCCCCATGGGTTAAAGTCCCTCCTCTCCACCTGGCTCCCATCTGCACTTTGCACCAGGAGGGGCGCCTGGGCACTGAGGTGGCAGTCGGGGCTCAGAAGCACCTTGGTTGTGCTGCGGTGAGAGTAGCATTTGAAGGCAGCAGTAGCCAGAGGCAAGAAGGATGTCTGTGGTCACTGCTTGGGCTCTCTGGCATGGCCTCTGGGAAAGACCACCCAAGCCACCACAGACACCACAGGGTCCCGAGCACCTCCTTGCCCAAGCTGGGTACCCAATGCTGGATCGCACCAGGTTCAGGTACTCTTGGGGGATTTTTTAGGTGTAGCACTCTCAGAGAGCTGGAGCCATTTGGGTTCCCTCTTGGGATCAAGGTGATGAAGGTGATCCCACCTGGAGTCTCAAGACTGGGGTTCTGGATTAGACCCCACAATGCTTCAGAGTACGCCCCCTCTGCATTGGGCCCCCACCCCCTACCTCTCCACCCCCTCTCCCCGCTGTGAAGCCATAGCCCCGCCTCTGAGCCAAGAGCTTAATTAGATGCTCGACTCCTTGGGGAAGAGCCCGTTGTCACTGTATCAGCCTTTGTTTCCCCACAAATGTTTTAAAGCCCCAGGGACCCTGGGAAAGGTCAGCTGACATTATCAGAGGCTCCCAAGATCTCTCTGAGGTCCTGAGTCCCCTGGGGGCCTCTTTTGTCTCCTGGGACTCACTCTCCTCCTCTCTTCCCCTCGGTTGGCTGAAAGCTGACTTTCAAGAGAAATTAGGCACACTTCCTCTCCATAATCTATTCCAAGGTTTCCGGCTACATACGCTTCCCCAGAGACCCGAGTGGTCTCAGCGAAGCAGGTATTTAATTAAACAAGCTGTGGACACGGGCCCTGCCTGGGCGTCAGTCCTTGAGTTAGAACACGAGTCCATTCTCCCGCCCCCAAGAAAGCATGGGAGAGACCACCCCCAACCCCCCGCCCAATTTCTTTGCAACATTGACTGTTCTTGACCAAGACTTGGTTCCAATTTCTCATCTTCTTGGCACCAACCCTCGGATGGAGCGGTTGACCTTGGGCACAGTGCTGTCACCTACTCAGTGGTCCTCACCTCTCTGTGAGCGAGCGTGCCAGCTGGGCCAGGGCACGGGGGCTGCTATCACTGCTGGCACTCTGCTGAAGCGTCTGCCAGATGGCCACCGCGCTGGAATCTGGGGAGACCTGGAGAGGCTCCAGGTTCTCCTTCAGTGGGTTGGCAACCAGGCCAAGACGGCCTCTGCTGTCCCTCCGGAGGCGCACTGTGACGGTACCTGCAGGACGCAGGGATGAGGGGAGAGCACACCGGTCATGTGTTACGGGTCATAGCTGTTGAGTTGCCCTAAGCAGCCTCCCTCTCTCCCTAGCCCCTCACTCAAGGGAGATTCGAGACTAGGGCGGCTCTGCCTAAGCCTGACCCTGGCCCTGATGAAGCCTGCAGACGGTAGCCCCGGGGTGATCTCCTTCATCTCGCTTCTCTACATTGTTCTGGAACTGGATTCCTGCCTACATGGTTGTTCACACCTTCCTGGCCACACCCATCCATGGCCAACCTGGGATACCTCGGAGCTGGTCTTCTATGAAGGAGCCTGCCTCCCCACCTCCCCACCTCCAGAGGGCGCCAATTAATGGAAGCCTGGTCCATCTCCTTCCCATTCCTCTTTGTCCCCTCAGTCATCTTTTTCCCCTTATGTCTTGAAGAAGTCAACCAGCTTCTCCCAGGAAGCCTTCCAGAGGTAGCTGCTGGACTGAGGGAGTCTGTCCCCCATCAGAGTCTTTTCCTCTGCTTTTCCACCGGTGCCCGGCCATCGTCTCTGGCTGCATACATCAGCATGTGGAGATTTGGGCTACACGTGGTTCTTAGAGAAAACTCTAGAGTCTTCAAGGTTTTCCCCAACATGTAGCATCTCTTGCCACCACAGCTGGCAATCACGGTAAGGAGATCACAGACCGTGTAGGCATTGGCATTTCGTGGTCCCCTTGTAGAGCCCTCGTCACAGCGGGGGAGCCCAACCTCCTCCCGTGGGGCTCAGTATCCAGTGGCATCTGGCCTTGCCCCGGTACCACACAGCAGGCTTAGCCTCCTATGGCAAACAGGCCATCCCGTCCTCCACCATTTCTGTCCTCACCCACTTCCCAGCTTCTCCTGCTCGGGTCTGAGGAGCTGGCCGTGGGCAGTGCCCCGTGGCCTTCCCAACTCTGCTCCCCAGCGGCTCCGGCCGGTGGGCCCCTGGTAGGAGTGGGAGGGTAAGGTATGAAGGTGTGACTTTACGCACTCAACCATTGGGCCCTGCCCTGCGTATCTGTGGGCGGGCCAGGCGCTGCTGCGCCAATGGGGTCGGTCTCTCCTCTCTCCCTCCAGCTGCAGGCCGGAAGCGGCTAGTTTTCATCTCACCCTCAAGCCTGCATGGATTTCTGCAAACTGTCCCCTTGCGAAAACGTCTCTCGAACATGGTTTGTTTCCTACTGGCTGAGATGGGGAGGAGGTGGGGCTGTGTTTCTATGTGTTCTACACTCGTTTTTTTCTTCCCAGGCCCCTTGGTCACCTCCCTGGTATGAGTAACTATTCTGTTGAGCAGGCAGGGGAGGCTGCTGGTCTTCCTGCCCACATCCTTGCCCAGCCCCTGGGGGCTGTCGGGTTGGACCCCATTCCCAGGGCCACTCTGCAGTACAGCATGCGCCTCTCCAGAGCTGTCTATGCTAACCCAGCGGACTCCCCGGCCAGTCCCTTCATATCAGATTCCTAGTGGCCCAATTCTGTAGCCTAGGAGGGACATTCAGTTCTCTCGGACTCCTGAAAACACGGCGTCTCCTCCACACCTCCCAGGCTCCTACATCCTTAGGACACCTCAGGAGCAGTAACGACACTGTCGGCGCTGGTGTTTATCTGACATCTCGGTGCCGGTTCTTAATCATGCCTGTCATGCTCATCCGTCCTGTGCCGAGAGTGGCCGGCTGGGGACATTTCCTCATCTCTTCTATAGGTGGCACAGGACTGGCCTCGTTCACTTTTCGCTTGTGATTTCTAAATTACAGCCCATCCATAAGGCTGTTGGTGGCACAGCAGGGCTCAGGAAGTCCGAGCCAAGGTCATACAGCCAGCGTGGGTGGAGCCACCTGCCAGGCGGATGCTGAAGAAGGGAGATGTTATAGCACATGGCCGAGGGTACCACGGAGATAGAGTCAGGCTGTGCTTACCTGGGAAAGCATGAGGGACACTCCCGCTGTGTTCCCAGAAACACTGGCTCTGGCCCGGCTGTTCTGTGGAAGCCCCAGGGGAGCACCCTCGCCATAGAGGGCTGGGGCGTGAGCTTTGCATTTCCAGTCCCGGGTCCTTGGCAGGAGGCTGCTGTGTTTGTTCTAGGAAGGAGAACCTTCCAGATCTCAGCATGGAGCCTCTATGACTAACGGAGCCTCTGTCCCTGTCCTGGAGGGAGCCTGTGCCCTTCTGGCTGTTTAGTGGCCCCAGGAAGCCCCACTAGCCGAGAGCAATGTCCTCTGGGGCCTCTTCAAGTTCACGCTCCCGTCTGGCAGGCCCTGGCCTTTTCTACTTGAGGGTCTATGGCAACACGCCCGCCAGAAAACACAGTTCTTGGTGGCTTGTGCCCAAGAGGCCTCCCTGGAGAGGCAGGAAACGCAACCTTCCAGGCTTCATCCTTGTCCGATCTCATCGTTTCTGAGCGCCTGCATAAATGCTGGTGAGTGGAGGTGCAATTACCCCCCAGCTGATAAAACCCCAAAGTCATTCCCGTTCCTCAGATTGTCGGGAACTCGCCATCGGCACAGCGTCCCTGTCGCTCAGCCTCTGATGGGCTCACTGTCCGCTGTCTGCTGGGCCCAGCACCCTTCCTCCCTCTTCTCTCGCCATCGTGGCTCTTCCCTGGAGCAGACCCACTGACATCTCTCTTACGAACTGTGGGGAGGGGGGCGCTGCCTGCCCTCGGCCCTGGGAACTCAGACTCTGGTGCCTGGGCTACGCTCTACAGTCAGGAGCCCCTGTGTCTGTGGGGGGTAGACCCCCGGAGGCCTGAGATCTGTGGCTGCAGCCCTACTGGGAGCCTGGGGGCCACAGCTCTTCCCATGTACCTCAGCCGGAGAGTCTGCTGGCTGGGCGGGCAGAGCGCTGACTGCCACGATTGGCATGCCCGGAGCATCTCAGCAATTTTGGTTTGACCAAGACACTTCCCCGAGCCCTGGCAGATACTGTGTCACGTGTTTATTTTTAAGTTTATGAGGACATTCACCGCTGCCATCTGTAATACGAATCTGGCCAGACCCTCCGCCAACTGAGCCCAAGTGCCTGTCCTCATACACCCAAGGCCAACTGAGAGGCAAGGGACACAGGCCCAAGATGGCAATGCTGAGAGCCCAGCTAAGAGCTAGGCGAGCTGCTGGCACACGGCACTGTGTGGCCTTTTAGAGTGCCACCCTGGACAAAATTCTCCCTGATGCCCTGAAGCCCATTCTATGCCTTCATGGCGTGTGGCAGTCACTGCACAAACAGCCCCTCCTCTCTGAGGAAGCTATTCCTATGTAGGAGCAGAAGGTTATCTATCTGTCCTTTACTGACATGATGATCCGGCTGAGCGCTTCTGAGGGAGACTGTCTCCTCCCTCCTGGGAATAGATGGCCTCTGAAATCGACACTCGGCTACTCAGGTAGCTGAGTGGGGTGGGTGATGGGATCAAGATCCCAGGGTCTAGAGCTTCAAATCCTCTCCTGGCCTCGGGCAAGCCTGCTGCTCTCCTCATCTGTGTCTCTGGGGTTATAGAGGTGTCTGCTTTTGAGAGTTATGAGGTTTATGTAAACGGGGGTGTGGAACCCTCTTGCAACAGCCCAGAGCAAGCACGACGGACTAGCTGCTGCCGCGTCTGTTATTGGTTAAAACCAGTCACCTCCATTACTGCTCCCAGCTCTACTGCAGGTACCCAAGAATGGACTGAGTGTCCTCCTGGGTTCTGGGCTTCTCTAGGGCTCCTCACATTGCCAGAGAGTGAGTCAGTATTTCTGCTTAAGCAAAGCCTGGCATTGGGGTGCCACCCAAACCCTCCCTGAGGCCAGCTGGTAGTCATCCATTATCCCAGAGTCCGGAGGTCCTGTCCTCCAGCTAACCCCCACTGTGTTTAGAAGCATCGTCTGTAAGACAGCCCAAAGGTTGCCGGGAGGTGGTGGCACATGCCTTTAATTCCAGCACTCAGGAGGCAGAGACAGATGAATTGCTGTGGGTTCAAGACCAGTCTGGTCTACCGAGCAAGTGCCAGGATAGGCTCCAAAGCTACACAGAGAAACCCTGTCTTGGGGAAAAAAAGACACCCCAAAGGCAAGGCTGACCTAGACCCTGCTGCGTGGATCATCATTTAGCTACAACCTTTGGCTCAAGGTGCGGGCAGCCGTCAGTACGGGGTAGTCTGACCTACAAGTTTCTCACTTCATGACGGCGTGAGTGAAACGCATCCAGAAGAAAACACCCTTTGATTGTTCCGTTTTGATCTTTTCCTGGACTAGTGATACACGACACAAGCCTCTCAGGATTCAGGGCAGAGGCTGTGGCTCCCAGTTGGTTCTGCGGACACCACATGCTAAGCTAGGGTGTGAGGTGGGTTCTGCCTTCTAAATGCTTTCTTATTTGTGGTATTTTTAGCTTACAATGATTATTTTGGAGTTATAACCCTTTTCTAAGCAGGGAGCATCTTGTAATTGGAGTTAGAACCCCATATAATAGAACCTCAAAGAGGCATTCCCAGAAAGCAGAGAATTCTGGACAGGTGTCCTGAGAATACCCTGTCATCCCCACCAGAGCACAGGCCTATGCAGACAGGACAGAGTCATAGGGAGGTGGGGTCTCCCCAACAGCCTGCCCTCTGTCTGTGGCAGCCATGCGTGGTCTCTCTCAGGTCCAGGGCTGTGCTGAGCAAGAGGGAAATGCCGCGGGCGGGCGGGCGGGAGTCCACCTCACGCCAGGACCTGCTACCCTCTGCTATGTTGAGCTCAGTTACAGGAGAACAGACGTTAATTCCAGCGGGTGCTCTGACAAGACAAGCAGCATTGACCTGTGGCCTTGGGAGACTGTGGAGAAGGCCAGGGCAGGCAAGAGTGGGGTCCCCACCGGTGGCCCACTGTCCTCTTCCGTCTCCCAGGATGAGCGGGTGAGCCATCTCATCACAGAGACCCAGTGTGAACCAAGGCTCAGCCGTCACATCCAGGCCCGTGGTCTGGTCTCAACCTAGCAGACCTTCTCATTCGGGTCTGTGATTGATGGGTTAGGATGTCCGGTCCTAACTGGGTCAGGACTGGGTTCTGCTTGGCTTCTGGAATGGAATCCAGGAGTGCTGATGAGGCCCGTGCTTGGAAACACACAGGCACAGACTCATCTGCCTTCCCAGCTGTCCGGAGCACTGGGATGCAACGGGTTTCTTTATTTTCTGGGCCTTGAACTTGTTGCACAGCCAAGGGTGACCTTGTACTTCTGGTCCTCCTGCCTCTACCTCCTGAGTAAGAGTGCTACAGGCGTGTGCCACCATGCAGCAGTTGGTGCGCCTCTGGGGACGGAGACCAGGTCTTCAACCATATTAGGCAAGCGCTTTTCTGGAGACCAAGGCACATCCCTAGCCCCCTCAGCAGGTTTCTGATGGGTTTGTTTGAGTGTCATAATTGCTGTCCTTGGAGACGCTTTGGCAACAGGGCAGCGGATCTCGGTCATGAAAAGCTAATACTCTTTAGAGGGACATGCCCCGCTGTTGGGGGCAGCGGGTGGGGGGGTAGTCACCTGCCAGCCAACTCTACAGGACCTCATTTACCAACCCTGAGTGGGGACCAAACGCTACCTTTGGATCTAGGCAGGGGTACCAGACAAGAGAGCCAGCAGGCACGACCCTTCTACGGAGCTCTTTCTTCCCACAACCACCTGTGCTGGGCTCCAGGACACACACCGCCCACCCACATACACCAGAAAGCAGCCTGGCCTTGGCCCTGCCTGTATGAACTGGGGATTCTGGACTCCAAACCAAGTCATGTCCCAGATTCCCTGTGTCCCATCTGGCCTGGGTCTCCAGAGGGAGACCAAGGAGACCTCACTCGGTCTTAAGTTTAGCCACAGCCACGCCCTGTAATGCTCCCAGAGAGCAGGGTGGAATATCCCATCAGGACCCAGGAGGGCTGGCCGTCCCTCGACGCGATTCCCAATTCTGTGAAGCTGAGTGGCCTGACCTATCTCCAAAGCCATTAATGCCCCTGATGCGGAGGCTTGGAGGAAATCAGAGACAGGCTGGCTTGGGGACACTGGCTGCTGGGAAGAGGGCTGTCACCATGCAGCCCCTCCCACCCCCTGCCAGTGATGGCAGCTGAGTGCAGTCGAGCCCCCCGGGGGGGGGGGGCTCCACCACTCACCTTTGTACTGCGGGGTGAAGCATCTCATGGCCAGCGGCAGGGACTCGTAGAACTTCTGCTCCTGGGAGATGAGGGGCTTGCACACCGTGTGAGCGTCATACTGTAGCATGCTCAGGTGGCCCCCCACCTGGTGCAGGAAGGGCTCCAGGGGCACCCCTACCCCGTGGCTCCCCTTGTCGGTGCTGTGTAGCACCACCATGGTTCCGCCAAGTCCTCCCCGAGGAAGGCAAGACGCAGAGGCTGCTGCTCCCAACAGCTGGGCCGTCCGCGGTCCCCACGGTCTGCTGTCTTGTTGTGGCCTTTACCACTGCCCCTGCACAGGCGATTCCTGGCCGCCCACCTCCCTGGCAAAGAAAAGAAGAAGGAAAATGCGAATTATACGAAGATGGGGTGCTGGGTGTGTCACCCGTGGGCCCCAAATCAAGGTGGCACTCAAGTGTGCATTGCTTCTGTCGTGAGAAACTGGCCGTGGTCTGAGTCCCCAAATCAAGGGTGGGAAACATCTGTCTCTGCCCAGGGAGAAGCAAGCAGAGCTGCTGGGTGCCCTCTCCTGACGGGGTGGTTTCATTTCCATAGAGCAGAGCTAGGCTCTAGCGATTTGGGTTATCTTTTTTTTTTTTTATGATTCACATACACGACGGCGGCTGTGGGACCTTGGGCAGGTTACCGAAGCCTTCTGGGCCTCAGCGTCTCTGTGCAGTAGGAGAGGGTGTAGAGCTAGGGACAGGATGAGGACAAGGACACAGAAGTTTCCCTGGGCCCAGCCCGCCATTTCCTTTGTGCTCTCTCCGGAAGGTGGGCTTACTCCACCTGGACTCTGCAAAACCAGCCTCTAAAGCCTCTCTGACCTTGTCTCGGAAGAGCGCCAAGTACAGAGTGAGGGGTGGCTCTTCTATGGGATTTGTCCCATCTGAGAGGACATTCCCACAGCAGGGCCCCCACCACAAGTTATTAATACCTCTCCCTCTGCTGGACTCCTGGCCGCCATGCCACGGGGCAGTACTGGGCGCCATTAACCCTCTAATTGCCCTTCACTCCAGGCCCTGGGCGCCTGGAGTGGCTGATGAGGCCTTGGGGGAGGGAAGGGCAAAGACCTGAAGCCAGCGAGGCTGGGCCAGGAGCCACAGAAGGCCCTTCCTGAATCTCTCTCCTGAGATGAAGAGTGACCACTGGGGTGTGTGTGTGTGTGTGTGTGTGTGTGTGTGTGTGTGTGTGTGTGTGTGTGGAGGGGGGGTGTTGTGGGGTGGCTTTCAGGATCCTAAAGAAGCCGGCGGTATGTGTGGACAGATAAGGGAAGGAAACCCACAGAACACATGGGCCAAGGTAAAACAGCCCCCAAAACATCCACGTCAGCCTGCAGTGACTCGCCTGTCCCGGGCTAGCCTGCGGGTGACTCGCCTGTCCCCGGGCTAGCCTGTGGTGACTTGCCTGTCCTGGGCTAGCCTGCAGTGACTCGCCTGTCCCTGGGCTAGCCTGCAGTGACTCGCCTGTCCCCGGGCTAGCCTGTGGTGACTCGCCTGTCCCCGGGCAGCAGTGCTGTGGTAAGTAGAGGTGCAGCTGTAAAGTTCATTCGTAGCCGCTCCTGGAAGGAGGCTCAGTTCCGGCCTCACACTCGTCACACTTGCCAGGCATGGCTCCCAGACGCCAGTTCAAGCCTGCCAACACACACTGCCTGGTTCCACATTGCTCCTCGTGCTGCCGCCACCCGCACGGCCCTTGCTGTATGGCGTGTAACGTTCTGGATATTTTAGATGGACTGTTTAACCCCACAGCTGACCAATAGGGTAACTGGGGCTACCAGTCCACTTTCAAGCTAAGGAAACTGAGGCAGAGAGAGGTCAAGAGGCTTTCCAGTATAAACCAGCTGGTATGAGGGGACCAGGGATTTTTTTTTTTTTTTTTTGGTTTTTCAAGACAGGGTTTCTCTGTATTGTTTTGGAGGCTGTCCTGGAACTCACTAGACCAGGCTGGCCTCGAACTCACAGAGATCCCCCTGCCTCTGCCTCCCGAGTGCTGGGATTAAAGGCGTGCGCCACCAATGCCCGGCGGGGACCAGGGATTTTTAACCGTGGCCTGTTGTTAGCCTAGCCTGTGCTCACCAGTCCCCAGACTTCTGGGAGGCAGGAATTGTCATGAGAAGTCCTTTATCTGCTTTAAAAGTTGGGAAATTGAGCCCAAAGAGGCTGGTACATGGCCAGAGTCACCTGTAAGTCACAGGTGGTTCTGGGACAAGCTTGACTGTCCCTCAAACCTAGACAGTCACTGGGTGAATGTGCCTGTCCTGGGGGTGGTTGGACCACTCCTCCACCTCTGTAGGGGAGTGTCTCTGTCAACAGAGACTCTTTCCTCCGGCCTCAGCCTGCTGTTCCTTCCCCGTCCTCTCAGAGGTGAGATGCTCAGGTCTGGCTACACCTTCTCTGGGAGTAGAGAGGTCCCTGCACTCTGGGGCTGAGCCTTGGCCCTAAGTCTGGGGTCGAGGGCAGTCTGCTGGGCAGCCAGCTTGTCTTTGAGAACACTGGACTTATTGGTCAGGTAAAGAGAGGAACTTTCTCTTGCAGGCCTTAGGCGTTAGGTCAGGTAACCTCTCAAAGTGTTTCTGTACCTGGGCTGTGCAGTCTGCCGCTCTGAGGTAGCTGGGAGAATGGCAGGAGAGCAGGGTTAGCTGCAGAGTGGGCTCTGCCTCTCAGAGGTGGGGCCTTGGGTTTCTGAGGAGACTGGAGCTTTCCCCCTTTGTTCCCTTTGTATGAGGCCTGCAACTCTGTGGGTCTGAGGCGCAGGTGGCCCCATCCTCCCACCCGTCTCCCGAAGGCCCAGATAAATAGCTCTGGCTGCCTAGGCCTTGCTTCTAAGGCCCACAGGCCCTCTTCCTCCTGTGAGTCAGAAGCCTGGGGTCTGTCAGGAACACCACCCACTCACACACCAGCTGGCGGAGGCTGAGGCTGACCTGGTAATGAACAGGAGTCTGACGCATTGCCTACGGCCCTGGCCTTGCCATTGAGGCTCAGAGAACAGAGGCTCCTCCGTGGAGTCCCCACGTGGGGGTCAGCTCACGAGTGATGGTCCGGATGACTGAGTCACCTGGGGTGCTGGGAAGGCAAGTGAGATGGTGCCTGAGGGGACGCCCGCTTCTGACACACCCCCAGGGGACCCACGGCTGCTCTGGAGGACGGTGTTTCTCCAGCCCACACAGTCCTCGTTCCTCCCTTGTCTCCTCCCTCTGGCCGGGTCATGTCCTGAGTGAAGCAGCACTGGGCCTCACTCCAGCAGCCTCAGGGCTAACTTGGGCCACTGGGGTGAGGCCGTGGGACCAGTAGTGTTTAAGGACAGGCTGGCCATATCGGGACAAGCCCGAGGAGGCTGAACGCCGGCAGCCAGCCTGCCTCTGCTGGGCTGGGGTTCACTCCCTGCTCTGAAGAGCGAGTACCAACAACAGAGCTCTGTTAGCAGTGAGCATCCCTAGGAGTCCCCAAGACCCTCCCCACTAGCATGATCTCGGTAGGTCCCCAGGAGCCTGGCTACTTCCCAAGCATTCATAAGCACTATAATTACCGGTGCACCAATTCATTTAAAGGCATTTATTGGATTCCTAGAGGTTTTTGTCATCATTTGTTTTCTCGATCAACAGATACTAACAGTCTAACGAGTGTTGCATGGTTACTGGTAGGGGAAAAATTATGCTGAAAAAATGAGTCCTCTGGGCCGGAGGTGTGTGTGGGGGGGGTTATAGCTCAGTAATGATAGAGTGAGAACATTATATTCACAGGGACCTGGGTTCGAGTCCCAGCGCCACAAGTAGACATTACGTTCTCTCATACGGAAACCTAAAACAGGAAGGCTGATCTGCAAGTACAAGAGTAATGTTGGGACTGGGAATTGGGTGGGCATGAGTTAGGTGCTCCACACATACACATTGAAGTACCACAACGGGTTTTCTTGTATAGTTAACTTGAATTGCTAATAATGGGAGTCCTTCTGGAACGGCTGCAGGGGTTTCTGCACTGGGTTAAGAGACATGTAAGTTAGGGTGCCCAAGAAGTGACTAGGGAGAGGTTTGGCTCAGCCTTGGGGAGCTTGAAGAGGACCTGCTCAGAGAACACATGTTAAAGGAGGCAGAGACAGGGCAGGAGAGGACGACCAGAGGGGGGGGGCATGCTACACCTGGTTTATGGCTGCCCTGAGTTGTTGATGGAAGGGGCTGAAGGGGGAGTCCAGCCTTGCCCGCTGTGGGGAGGGCCTGTAATCCCAGCCCCAGGGAAGCAGAGATGGGGGGGGGGGCTGGGTGTTCTGGCCAGACCAGCCAAAACCAGAGAGCTGCAGGCTCAGTGGGAGATCTCATCTCAAAAGACAAGGTGGCTGCCAGGCATGGTGGTCTCTCATCCCAAGTACTCAGGAGACAGTAGAACTCTGTGAGTTCAAGGCCAGCCTGGTCTACAGAGCAAGTTCCAGGACAGCCAGGGCTGTAGACAGACCTTGTCTCAAAAGGAAGAAATAGGGGCTGGAGAGACAGCGCAGTGGTCAAGAGGACTTGTTGCTCTGTGGAGGACCCAGGCTCCTAGCACCTACACGGTGGCTACAGCCATCTGTGACTCTAGTTCTGGGTCCCTGACACCCCAGCTGAACTCTGCTGGTGACGGGCACACACATGGTGCACACACATAGGAGGCAAAGCCTCTGCACGCACAATTTTAAAAGATAAAGTGGAGAGGTCACTAAGACGCGTGCCAACCTCTGGCTTCCATCGCGCGCGCGCACATACATGTGCGCGCGCACCCACACACGCACATGCACACATACACACACATGCACCCATACACACACACGCACCCACACACACACGCACATGCACTCATACACACACACACACACACACACGCGCGCGCGCGCCTCATGGCCTCAGGTCCACCCAGGAAGGGGACAGTCCCACTCAGATTACAGAGGTACTGAAGCCTTCATAGAGAACACATCCTGAAAAGTCTCAGGTGTGCGGGGGGAAGGGACTTCTGTGAAGGACATTATTAAGAAAGAGACTGCAGTTGGGCCCAGCAGGCCACACAATTCAAAAGCCGAGTGGTTTATGGTCTGTTTTCTGTCTCCAAAGCTCTAACATACATTTCACAGGCTTCTCCGAGCCTGTGTTTCGGGACAAGTACCATTCAATGCCCTTGCGATGCCTGAGGGAACATCTTTTTAATCTATTAGAGATGAGAGGACCTGAAACCCATTTAAAACCGCTTAGGTGGTAATGGGCAGGGGAGTTTCAGAGTTCCCCACGTGGCTGAGGGCCGTGCATTATCTGGTCCCATCCAGGCCAGGAAGGCAGAGGCTTATGTTTTCAGAAGGGGAATTAATGGCGTTTGCAAGTCCATTCTAAAACAGCTCAGGTGCCCCAGGTCTGTGCACTCTTCCCCTGCCTGGCTCCCTGGCTGGTGGGATCAATACGGAGCGTGAGCTCTGGGGTCTGCATACGTCGCTTTCCAGGCTGTGACTGAAATGGATCTCTAGAGAACATCTACTTCCCAGGAAGGCAGGATTTCCAGGCTCTGGGGGCCACACTCCACACCCCTCAGCCCCGGAAACCTGTTTCCACACCAATTTTATCCTTTGAGGGGGGTTCCCCCCGCTTTTCCTCTTAACATTTAAAATCTCCCAACATTCCTCCAGCTTGAGGACCAAATACAATTTTAATGCCGTGATTATTAGTTTGGAAGCCCTTCAGCCACTGACAAATGTACTCAGCAGATCCTTCAATGTTCCGAGCTTGCCGTGGAGGCAGGAGAGACACGGGGGAGGCTGAGCGCAGGAGCCAGGTACCACAGAGGGCTGCTCAGGAGGCAAGGCTGGGACGCTGGCCCTCACCAGCTCCCCTCCAAGTAGGCTGTGGGCCTCACTGCATTTAAGTTGCCCCCCCCAGGACCTTGGACGTGGTTACCTAAGGCCTCAGGCATGGCTCCAGCCCCCAGCCCCTTCCCCAGGCCTGGTGCCTTTCTCTATATAACAGGACTGGGTTCCGGGCTTGCTCTGGAGACACGGGTTTGCCCATGGCTCGCATGGCATTGTATGGTGGAGACAGCAGCGGATCCTGCTCTGCTGTTGTTTATTTGGGTTTGCTTTTGTCTTTGAGGCAGGGTCTCTGGGGCAGGCTGGCTTTGAATTCATGATCTTCCTGCTTTCATTTCATTTTCATGCTTTTGAGACAACTATGGCTCAATGCCCTTGAGACGCCCGAGGGAGCATCTTTTTAATCCATTAGAGAGGAGAGGACCCGAAACCCATTTAAAACCCCTTAGGTGGTAATGGGCAGTGGAGTTTCAGAGTGCTGGGATTGCAGGGGTGTGCTAACATGCCCAATTTATGCCGTGCTGGGGACTGGACTCTAGGCTTTGTGAAAACCAGATAAGCTGTCCATCAAGCCACATTTCCCAGTCTCCGGCAACAGTTGTAAAGGTCAGAGCACAGGAATTAGGCAGAGTGTGCATGCATGTGTATGAGAGATTGAGTGAGTGAGTGAGTGTGTGTGTGTATGAGAGAGTGAGTGTGCGCACATGTGTTTGCATGCACGTGCTGCATGTGTGGTGTAGCTGTGTTCCTTTCCACCAAAGTCATGCATGCACTGTCTGCCTTCATCTCTGGAATGAACCTTAGACAGACTTGCAAGCACACCCTCTGCCCAGCAGGGGGCGGCAGTACACATGCTGATGCCAGGAATGCCCAGAACAGGATTAACGCTGGCTGAAAGCTAAAGCCAGCACCCCCTCTATATCCAACTACCAGTAGGCATATTCTTGGGACATCCTGAGTTTGTCTGGACCTGTCCCCAAATGCAGAGCCGGCAGCTGAGGTTCTCCTGCCCCAATGGGAATCTCTCTGAAAAGCTCTGAAGTCATCAAGCTTGGGTCCTGTCTCCTCTTAAGGCTTCTGCTGCTACTTCACCAGGGCCAGGGGCCAACAGAGGCCGAGAAATGGCTATGCACAATGCAGGCAGACACAACCCCCCCATGCCATCCCATCTCTCACCCCCCCCCCCCAGCCTGCAGGTTTCCTTCCCTAACAACCAATGTTCATAAAGTTTATCGCTGTTCCCGGCAGCTGCTAGGGAACAAGACAGCAGCCATAAGGATTTCTTCCTGGGAAGGATTTATTCAAGGGCCCTGCTCAGAGAGGAGGGGCTGCTGCTGGTCCCAGAATGCCAAGAAGAGGACAGAGGGTACGGGGCAGAGGAGGCTTCTTAGGCTCCCGCCAGGGCACAGTGGGACCTGGAAGGAAGGAACCACACAGGAGAGACTCCGGCCTCAGACTCCCAATCTGTACCAAGGGTGGTCTGTCCCAGCCACGCCCATGGACCAACAGTACCTCAGAACAGTGTGTGTGTGTGTGTGTGTGAGAGAGAGAGAGAGAGAGAGAGAGAGAGACAGAGAGAGACAGAGAGAGACAGAGAGAGACAGAGAGACCGAGAGAGAGAGAGAGAGGACAGAGACAGAGACAGAGACAGAGAGAGAGGACAGAGAGAGAGACAGGACAGAGAGTGTGTGTATGTGTGGTGTGTAAGAGTGTGTGTATCCCTATGTGTGTGTCCATGAGTGTGTGTGTGTTTGTGTGTGTGCATGCGTGTGTCATGTATCTGTGTGTATGTGTATCTGTGCCTGTGTGTATGTCTGTGTCTGTGTGTCTATCTGCTTGTGTGTCTATGTGTGTGTGCGTGTGTGAATTAGAGGTGCGTGGCATCCAAAGATGGAGATGGACGATTAGCGATTGGTCTAACACAGCTTTAATTAGGGGAGCAGCCGGATGCAGGGCATGGTAGAGGGGTCCTGTCGGGGTCTAGTGGGCTGTGCTGTGAGGGAGGGAGTCTGCCTGCACATACATGACTTCAGGTTCCTCCGCTAACTGCTGTTTGTAAAGTAAGCGTAGCAAGACTCAGAACAAGTGTGCGCAGCCAGGTGCGGGCTGCGGAAGTGTGTCTGGCGGCTGCGGAAGTGTGTCTGGTGGCTGCGGAAGTGTGTCTGGCGGCAGCCTATGTTTTTCCAGAGGGTCTTCATGAGAAAAATTACGAAACTGGTGGCTTAAAAAATATGGGTAAGCTAGGCGTGGTGGCTCACACCTGTGGTCTCAGAGCCTGGGAGGGGAGGCCGGAGCATCTAGAACTCAAGGCTGGACTTGGCTGCCTGGCAAGTTCAAGGCCAGTCTGGGTTTCGTGAGACCCTACTTCAAAGGGGGTGAGGCAGGGTCCTCCTCCCATAACACCATGCAGGGTTCTGAGATCGTGGGACTGGCTCACATTCGGGCCTTGGGGTCCCCGAAGAGTGCACAGGAGCTATGGAATGGGGTCCCCAAGGTTGCACCACTGTCTAGGGCAGCAGGGATGGACAATCTTGGCAGCCATGTGGCTTCCTCCCATGAACATCAACAGGGGTGGCTTACCACCCCCACCCTGGACGTCCCCGCCCCCAGGCCCTAAGACACTGCCACAGACACTGGTGTCACCAACCCCATGGCCCCACCCAGGAAGTAGGGTGGGCCAGGCGGGACAGGACACGCTGATCCCTGGGTCAAAAGCGTGAGGGACTTTCCCTGGACGTCTGCCTCTAGGAAGGTTTAACCTAGTGTGGAGGCAAGTGGCTGTCCCCAGCCCTTCACCTGTACTGCAGACCTGGCACGGCCTTGTGTGGGTGGGGGGCACACCAGAGCGTCCGGAAAGAGGGAGACATGAAGTGGAAGAGAAACATGCACCCACATTTCTAAATCGCTGCCTGTCCCTGCCCTTGCCCTCCACAGCACACACGCACACGCACGCACGCGCACACACACACATACACACACACATACACACACACGTGCGCATGCGCACACACGCATACATGCATTCCAAGCCACCAGTACCCCCAACAGGCCTACACTCCCTGGCGACCCCAGCCAGCCTGTAGGAAGACTACGCTACAACGTGAACAGGCCTGTGGCCCTGACACCTCCTGTCCCTCCCCCTGGCACCATCAAGTGCCCTCAGCAAGGTGGTTCTTCCCCCGTCCTTCATCAAGGCAGCACTCACCAGAGCCTCCTTCCGGGGGTGTCAGGACGTGTGCAGTAGGGACACTTGCCTCTCCGTGTCCCTGCTCTGACTACAAGCCTGGGGCAAAGGTCTGGCCCAGCTCCGTACTCTCCACTGGAGCCTGGGTGGGGCTTTCTGCCCAGGAGAACTAGGCTGCCAGCGGCCTGGGTAGGAAGGCCACCTGATCCCCTGGGGCTGGTATGCCCAGTTGTCAGCTGGGCATCCACAGCTCTGGAGCGCGGCCAGGGAGGTCTGGGAGAGAGGAAAAGGACAGGACGGAGGCTAGAAGGGGGGGGGACTAGGGAGGAGGGGAAGAGGAGGGAGGTTTGGGGAGGAGGAGGCAGGGGAGAGAATTTAGCTCAGCTATCTTGAAGGGTGACTGGCTCTGAGCACCAGGTGCCAATCACTACAAGGCCCCTGGGTATTGTTTAGTTGTTTAAAAAACAGTTAAGAACCAGGTGGTGGCACATGCCTTTAATCCCAGCACTTGGGAGGCAGAGGCAGAGGCAGGTGGATCTTTGTGATTTTTTTTTTTTTTTTTTGGTTTTTATGAGACAGGGTTTCTCTGTATTGTTTTGGAGGCTGTCGGTCCAGCCCGGCCTCGAACCCACAGAGATCCGCCTGCCTCTGCCTCCCGAGTGTTGGGATCAAAGGCGTGCGCCACCTCCGCCCGGCAATCTTTGTGATTTTTGAGGCCAGCCTGGTCTACAGAGCCACACCCAGAGAGAAACCCTGTCTTGGAAAACAAGCAAACCATGTGAACACACCTGTGGAGGTCAGAGCACAGCCTACAGACATGAGTCCTCCCCACATACGGTTTCAGGCCAGGCAGCAAGTGCCCTTCCCCACCGAGTCACCTCAGTATTTTCTTTATTCACTTGTTGATGCTGGGGTGGAGCCCAGGGCCTCACGTACAGACCTACGGAGCCCGCCCCCAGCCTTCCTTCATTTTCTATCCCTCTTCAGAGTGGCGCCCCGCCCCCACCCTCTCCCAGCCACCTCCCTGTAGGTGGCCTTTAGCTGTGGCTGCTCAGAGAGTCTCAGTCCTAGAGTAAGGCCCTCAGCCAGTCAGCAAGCAGTTGCCAATAAGGACCCTTGGAGGCCCTGTGGTACCAGGCCCTCTGCCGGGCTGCTCAGGCCCCAGCAGCCAAGCCTGTCACAACAGAGGCGGGGACTCGGTGGGGACAGAGGGCAGCTCACCCCATGAGGGAGAAGAGGCCTCGTAAATGACCATCTGAAGGAGAAAAGGGCGGGGGTGGGGGTGGGGGATGGCTGTAGCTCAGGGAGGAGGGAGGGTCCAGCCAGGGGTGGTCAGCAGGGGGAAGCCAAGGTGGTCGGAGCCATAGCAGCTGGGCAGGAGCAGACCTCAGGCCCAAGCGGAGCTAGAACACATTACACGGGGAGTCGGGCACAGGCTTGCAGCCAGAGGCTTTCTCTGCTGTGAAAGGAGCACATTGGGAAAGGGACCGCAGCTGTCCCCTCCCAGTGGGCCAGGCGGGTGGAGGGACAGAAGGTGAGCCCAGGAGGCTCGGTGAGGTCTAGTGATTATCAGGCCAGGGAGAAACGGCGGCGGCAGCGGCGGCATGGGCGTCGGTGGCGCACGCCTTTAATCCCAGCATCGGGAGGCAGAGGCAGGCGGATCTCTGTGAGTTCGAGGCCAGCCTGGTCTACAGAGAGAGTTCCAGGACAGCCTCCAAAACAATACAGAGTAACTCTGTCTCGAAAAAAAACAAAAAAGAAAAAAGGACAGATTTGGGTCTGGGTGGCCCTGGATCAGTGTTTGCTTCTGCCCTTCAGGCTTGCAGGGTCACCTCAAGGCCGTAGGGTCCTAGTGTGCGAGCCTGGGCAGCCCGGGGACCCCTCCCTTCTGCTTCTTCCCAGTGACCTCCTTCTCCATCTCTCCAGGCCCTGTGCTGTGGGCCTCCCCACACCGGCAGCCGGGGCGCGGGGGTTGGGGGGCGCCTCAGAAGTTTCCTGGTGCCCTGAATGAACCCTGGTTGAAAGTGGGATGGGACATATCAGGAGATTGATCTGGAGGTGAAACGCTGATCTTGGCCTGACCTTTATCCCTAGCACTTAAAACAAACAAACAAGAAAACCAAAAGTGCAGTTGATCCCATGTATGATGTATGCGGCCCCCACAACCAGGTTGGAGATGGACTTTTCCAGGGGGAGAGGGCAGGCTTCAGTTTGCCCCGCCCACTGTACGCACAGAGCTCCGGTTACCAACCTGGCTTCCTCACCTCCCCACCTGCTCCCTCCCTTGGCCGCACTCACAGGCCCATTCTGGGAAGCTTGGAGCCACCCAGGGCCGAGCAGTCCCTTGAGGGCCCGGAACATGGGAAGCTTCCCACCCAGCCAGCCAAGGTGACTAGTGAGTGGCGGGGCCTGGACTCAAACCCAGGCCTTGAGGAAGGCTGCTGCGTGCTTCCTGTTGTTGTCGGGAAGACCCTGGTCCACCTGCCTCATCTGATTAACACCGTCGGGCCTACTGTGCAACACAGAGACACAGCTATTCCCAAACGCCAGCGTCGGGCGTGGGAGCGTTCTCTTACGTAACCAAGTAGGGCACTTTATTTCTGTTCTTGGCCCCAGCCGGGCTCTCTGTGCCGTTTTCCCAGAGCCCAGCCTCACTTCTGAGATGCCTGCTGTTCAGCCTGCCTCCAGGACCTCTGCCCACCCATAGTCCCCTCCCCCAGGCACCCCCAGGCCTTCTGCTCCAGGACTGACCTCAGCCCTGTGCAGGACAGACACACTGTCTCCTGGGAACTGCTGCCTGCAGCCCCCTGGGCCTCCATTAAACCCCAGCATTTCTCCGGTTGCTTTGTCCTGGCCTGGCCCTCCCATCCCCTGCTCCTCAGAGAGACCTCACTCTGCCTGGCTCCTAAGCTACAAGCCACCCACAGCCTCTCCCCGTGCTCCTTCTGCGGGGCAGCCCCGCCCGCCTCAGCCGCGTCTGGCCCGGTCCCACCCCCACTGCTCCTCTGACTCCTTCCCTCCTCCCTCTGCCTGGACGTCCTCCTTATTCTGCAGGTGCAGCTGGAGAGTCACCCCAGGAACCTTCCTGAGCCCCTGCCAGCCTGTGCGCGGTGGCTCCTTGCTGGGCCCTTCTCCTCCCGGGCGGAGCCTGCCTCGGCGATGCTTTCCTGTGGATGCTTCCTGGGTGAGTGTGAGAGTGAGTGTGAGTGTGAGAGTGAGTGTGAGAGTGAGTGTGTGTGAGAGTGAGTGTGAGAATGAGTGTGTATGAGTGTGAGAGTGAGTGTGAGAGTGAGTGTGAGAATGAGTGTGAGAGTGAGAGTGTGAGAGTGTGAGAGTGAGTGTGAGAGTGAGTGTGAGAGTGAGTGTGAGAGTGTGAGAGTGAGTGTGAGAATGAGTGTGTGAGAGTGAGTGTGAGAATGAGTATGTGAGTGAGAGTGAGAGTGAGTGTGAGTGTGAGAGAGTGAGTGTGTGAGAGTGAGTGTGAGAATGAGTATGTGAGTGAGAGTGAGAGTGAGTGTGAGTGTGAGAGAGTGAGTGTGTGAGAGTGAGTGTGAGAGTGAGTGTGTGTGAGAGTGAGTGTGAGAGTGAGTGTGAGAGCGAGTGTGAGAGTGAGTGTGAGAGCGAGTGTGAGAGTGAGTGTGAGAGTGTGAGAGTGTGAGAGTGAGTGTGAGAATGAGTGAGTGAGTGAATGAGTGTGAGAGTGAGTGTGAGAGTGTGAGAGTGAGTGTGAGAATGAGTATGTGAGTGTGAGAGAGTGACTGAGTGTGTGTAACTGAATGAGTGTGACCCAGTGAGTGTGTAAGTGAGGCGTGAGTGACTTATTGTGACTGAGTGAGTGGCTGAGAGAGTGACTGAGTATGTGTAGCTGAGTGTGACTGCGTTGTAAGTGTGGAGTGTGTGTGACTGAATGTGACTGAGTGTAACTGAGTGTGACTGAGTGACTGAGTGTGACTGAGTGTGACTCAGTTGTAACTGTGGAGTGTGTGTGACTGAGTGTGACTGGGTGTGACTGAGTGTGACTGAGTGACTGGGTGACTGGGTGAGAGTGACTGAGTGTGTAAGCGTGTGTCTGAGTGTGTAAGTGTGTGACTGGGTGTGACTGAGTGACTGGGTGTGTAAGTGTGTGACTGGGCGTGCCTGACTGACTGGGTGAGTGAGTGACGAGGTAGACTCACTCTGGGTCTGGCTTCTCCATGTCTGAGGCACAGAGTGTCTCGAGAGCCCTTGGCCTGGCTTCTGGCAGTTGAGACCTGGACTAGGTCACCGTGGCCCTGAGGCGCCTCCATCCTGGCTGTCCCTTCTCTGCTCCCGTGGCCCAGTGTTCCAGCTCTCAGAACAACAACGTTGCACCCTGGGCATGTCGCCACCCCGCCTCGCCTCGTAAACACGGGCGGCTGCCGACCTGCTCCAGTGAGTGATGCCCGTCCTCAGGCCTCCCGTGGGTGCTGCACCCCCGCAATCCCAGCACTCGGAAGGTGGAGGCAGGGGCATCGGAATGCGAGCTCCTCATTGGCTACATAATTGAAGGCCGGGCTGGGGTGCGTGAGGCCTGGTGTCAAAGTCAAACAAACGCTGCCAGCCTTGCCAGGCACCACAGCCCATTCCTTCCTCACGACAGCGGAGTCTTCCCAGAGGACAGGCCTGGGGGCCGGCGGTCTGCGGTGATTCCCCACAGGGCCTCCCTGAAGACCTGGTCAACCTGGTGCCGGCCCAGCTAGAAACCCCGGGTGTCGGGCTCGGCCCCAGAGCCTGCTGAGCTCCTGTGGGGGCTCTGACAGTGGCGTCACTGAGGCCTGACTGCAGCTGCTCCCTCGTCTCCCGACCTATCAGGCTGAGGACCTGCCTGGGAAGCAGCGGGGCATCAGCGCTTGGATCCTTCAGATAGGATATATCAGGGCAGGCTAGGGGTGTGCGTGCGTGTGCGTGTGTGCGTGTGTGGTGTGTGTGTGCATGCACGTGTGTGTACGTGCGTGCGTGTGTGTGTGTGGTGTGTGTGTGTGTGTGTGTGTGTCTAGAGGCCCAGCTCTGGGGAGAGGGAGGGCTGAGGACATTCACACATTCACACCTGCATCCGAGGAGCACCGCGGCTGGGGAGTGGGGGTGGGGTGGGCTGGGTGTGAGGTGGCTGCTCCTAGCCTCACCTGACACTCCCACAGCCCCCTGAGGCATCGGGCAGAGGACTCCTTGGTCGCCCGGTTGGTCACAGAGCCAAGCTCGGAGTCCCACCTCTCAAGCCCTGT